TTTTTTTTTTTTTGCTGAGGAAGACTGGCCCTGGGCTAACATCCGTGCCCATCTTCCTCCACTTTATATGGGACGCCACCACAGCATGGCTTCCCAAGCAGTGTGTCGGTGCGTGCCCGGGATCAGAACCGGCGAACCCTGGGCCGCCGCGGCGGAGCGCATGCACTTAACTGCTTGCGCCACCGGGCCAGCCCCCAAAAAGTATTCTATCAATGTTAGATTTAAATTTATGAACTGTGGTTATGTCAACGACTATCCCTATTAGAAAATAGTCCCTGACGTATTAGAGTAAAGAGCCTTGTTTGAAATAGGCACCTTATTCTCAGTAGTTCAGTAAAAATCACACACTTCACACACACACACAGCCGAGGAGGGGAGAGAAGAGCACAGCGAATATGAGAAAGTTAATGAGATAAAATGTTAACAAAAGGGAATCTGTGTAAAGGGTTAGACTGGTGTTCTTTGGACCAGTTCTATTCATACAACTGCTAATTTGAAATTGTTTCTAAACAAAGCTTTCAAAGCTTTGTTTCTTTCTTTTAAGTCATTCTAGGAACAAAAGAGAGACAGCAGGGCAGAGTGGTTGGCCACACAGGCTTTGGGATTCCCGTCTAGCTCCACCACAGTCCACTCTGGGACCACCAGCACCCCCGCTCCAGGCCTCAGTTTCCCATCTTTCCAGTGGAGCAGAGGTACAGCCAGCGGCTGGAAGGTTTCAATGTGCTCAAGCTTGTAAAGGCACGTAAGGCTTATCATGCTGAGCAGGGCACCCAACCGATCAGCTGCTAGTTGCTGTCATGCCAGAAACATAACCCTGGACACTGCACCACATTAGCTGGGGAACTGCCATCCAGAGGGGTGCCAGGATCAAAGGAACTTCCTGGACCAGCTGTCCCCAAGATACCGAGGGGAGGAAGAAGGTGTTTTCAAAGCCATTGTGCTCAAGGAAAAGGGCACTACCCCAAATATTCTAAACCTTGTTTAAATAATAATCTAGAAATGTTTCTCTAAACTGTGTGTGGGGGGGCGGGTTTGCAATTTTGATGTAAGAGTTTCATATGCTCACTACACGTAATGTACAGTTGCATTGTCCATCAAGTTCTAGACTCTACAAATTCTTTCAAGGGGGCAGGGCTCTCGAGCAGCCCATCCCATGGTCTCAGGACCGTAGGTACACACACCTGTGCTCCACTGCAGACGCACAGACTCTTACCTCCCCGGCCTTGTCATTAGGAAAAAAAATTCAATTAGAACCATATTTGAAAAACACTTCTGGTCCCAACACTGATAAAGAGTGTCCTCATTTCTGTGATCCGTTTGGTGCTGTCAGAGACAGAGCAGCTGAAATTGGGCACATTTCAAGTACATGATTACAAGAATATCCCGGGAGGCAATGGCAGTGGTAGTAATATTAGCTACAGAATCCCAAATTCTAGTTATGGCAGGGAAGGACTGGTGAGCATGCACAGGGAACCCAGAACAGATGCAGAATGTCGGATGGCTGGAGGAGCTGGCTGAGGAGGGCAGGCTTGCGGAGCCCAAGTCATGAGGTCGGGGTCAGCGGTGGGACGGCAAAGACATGTTTTTCTTAATTTGGGAGGAACTTGAAAGGTGATCAACATTATCTTCTTTGAAACTCAGAAAACTGCGTTTTGCATTAGGTTCTTTGGCAAAGAGCACTAAAAATAACTACAGACTTTAGTAGTTTTGGCACAAGAATGTTCTCATTCTTTCACTTTCCTCTTGAAGGTCACCCCTCTCCTGCCCTGGAGGGTCTTCATGCCCCTCCTGAACACTCTCAAATGGGCACGCTGTAACTGAAAAGCTTGGTGGGGCCCTGGGCCTTGCTCATCTCCACACCCCAGAGCCTGGCATAGCTCCCGGTATAAGGAAGACAGTCAGTAAAAGTATTTACTGAACTGAATCAGCTTTTAATTTTAAAAGGCTTTCTCTCTCTTCTCACTAAACAACAAAACCATACCTTACAACATCATATAACCTACCTACAGCTCAGAGATTTGCTATTTCTATGTGGAACCCAATTTTTTCGCATGGTTCCTTTAAACAAGGTTCCCTGTTGGTGACAAGCAGGAGAGTCTCTGCCTGGGGATGGGTGGAGCCTATGTGGGAGGGGTCTGGGAAGCAACAGGAGAGAAGCTTCTAGGGGACAGAAATGCTGTGTCAATTGCAGTGCTGGTTATACAGATGTAGACATCTGTCCTAACTCAAAATTTACACTGAGATCTATGCATTTTATATGTAATTATACCTCAATTTTTTTTTTTTTTTTTTTTTAAGAAACAACCTCCCTATCCCATCCCAGCCCACAGTAAGTTGAATTTGGCTGGGGAGTCCTGGATCCAGGGTCATTCTGAGGAAAACCTGGAGATCCAGTCAGCCTGGGACAGGCCTAGAAGGCACTGCCATCCCAGATAAGGCTCCCACCAAGCAGCCCCCAGTGGTGCTGCTTCCCTTCTGCCCACCCCTCAGTGACTCACACGTGGGCCAGAGAAGGGTGAGTATGAAGACAGGGCTGGGAGGAGGAGAGCAAGGTATGAAGATGAGAGACAGGGGTCAGTCCCAGGCCTTGGAGCTTGGGGTCTGACCTGAGACCATGGCAGTTTCCAAGGAAGCAAAGAGGGCACAACACACAAGCACCCCCACCCGCTCGGGCGGGGCAGAGCTTTCTCACTCAAGTACTTAAGCATTTTCGTAGGAGTGTTTTCTTTGTGTGTATTCTGCTGAAGCCCTGCAGGTAAAGCTGGGGTGTCATTAGGTGTCTATGGCAGAAGAATCATCAAAAAGATTGAGATGTTGTCTAAGACAGATTATGGGCCTCGTTTCAACTCAGTAGTCATGGGAGACACTTCAGAACAAAGAAGCTCTCTTTGCTTTCTTACTTTCACATCTGCACAATATAAAATGTGTGCCTGCACAACAAATGCCATCTCATGTCTTGTAGCACTTTACAGTCATGTCTAGTAGGTTCACTGTCAGGCAGGGCACACACACTGCTGTGATGGGACACAGAGAGTTTTATTGTTGGATTTTTCCTCAGTAACCAACACACGCAGTCCCCCAGCCCAGGAGAGCTAAGGGTAAAACCGAAGTAGAGGAGTTAATATATTGCAAAGTTTAAGAGGCAAAGCTCTGAAGGTGACCGACTGGAAAACCACCTGATTCCAGTCTGCTGAGGGAACCTGAGCCTCTGCCTTGGCTGGGGTAGAACCACCCGCCCTCTGCTGGGGAGGGAGGGTGCTGGATGTGAGCCTGGGAGGAGAGCGTACCTGCAGAGGCCATGGCCTCCCGATCTGGCTGTCCAGCCCAGAGCAGGAAGGATAACACGCCCAATACTTCGTGGAGGCAGCACACGCCCTTCGTGAGGGGCTTGCTGTATGATCTGCTCTCCTCCCTCATGTAGGCAAACGGACTCATCACCAGCACAAGGACTGACGCGGCCGAGACAAATAGCACAAATGACCGTCCTTACACCCTCTGTGCATTTTTTAGAAAATGACTGCCAAAGCGTTTGTCAATTAATGAATGGATTTTTAAAAACTTTTTTGTCTGTAAGAAACTATTTGGGTCCAGACAATATTCAGAGTAATTCCCCTATCACAAGCTTTCGTTTTTATTTTTCTCAATTTTATTTTTCAGATTTTGTCCACCAAGAACTCTCTAAATGATACCAATAATTACCTCATCCCAAAGTCAATATATAGGACCATAAAAATGCTAGATGGGAGCTGTTGCAGTTTTGGCAATCTATGCACAATTAAAATAAAGCTTATCTTACCTCACCAAAAGCACCTCTTCCGATTACTTTAATTATCTCGAAGTCTTCTCGATGAAGCTGCATTTCCTTCACCAGTTGTGTAAATGGTTTAGCTATAAATTTAAAAAAGTAAAATTAACAATTTACTCTAATAAGCTGATACTATATTAAAATTTAATTGACTGGGGTATTACACTAAGTTATACTTTTTTTAGAAAAAAATGTTTACTTTTTTTTATCAGGGCCGGGCCGGTGGCGCAAGCAGTTAAGTGCGCGCGCTCCGCTGCGGCGGCTCGGGGTTTGCCAGTTCAGATCCCGGGCACGCACCAACTCACTGCTTGGCAAGCCATGCTGTGGTGGCGTCCCATATAAAGTGGAGGAAGATGGGCACGGACGTTAGCCAGGGCCAGTCTTCCTCAGCAAAAAAAAAAAAGGAGGGTTGGCAGATGTTAGCACAGGGCTGATCTCCTCACCAAAAAAAAAAGTTTACTTTTTATTATTTATTTATTTATTTTAAAGATTTCATTTATTTATTTTGCCCCCCAAAGCCCCAGTAGATAGTTGCATGTCATAGCTGCATATTCTTCTAGTTGCTGTATGTGGGATACGGCCTCAGCACGGCCAGAGAAGCGGTGTGTCAGTGCGCGCCCGGGATCCGAACCCGGGCCACCAGCAGCAGAGCGCACGCACTTAACCGCTAAGCCACGGGGCCGGCCCAAAAGTTTACTTTTTAAATGAATATTTTCAAAATGTTTAATATCTGGAAAGTTTTGGAGAGTCAGTATTTATGCTAAATTAACGTGGATGTTTACCATTAGCACCTATACTTCAGTACCTGTTACAACAAATCCTGTCACAAGGAAGACCCCCTGGTACAAATCATTACAGCCAAGATCTACCTATTGAGCAGCGACTGTTGAGCGCGCCCCTGCCTGTTCCCGTGGCGAGGCTTGCTGTAACTGCCATGAAGAACACCGGCGGCCAGGGGACTGAGCTCTGAGCTTCACTTGTCGGCTCAGCCAGGCCACAGGGCAGCTGGGGGAACGTGACACATTCTCCAAGACTATGATGTACGCCCCGGACACCCAGAAGCATCCTTGACAATCACGTGGAGCCTCTCACAGTAACCTCAGTCAAGGACCTGGAGAAGTACTTCATACTGCTCTCTTGTGTTCCACACACCCACTCTTTGAGATTAATTCTATTACTATCCACATTTTAGAGAGACGAAACTGAGCCAGGCTTCTGTGGAGAGTGCACTAGGTTGAACAGTGTCACCTCAAATCATGTCCACCCGGAACCTGTGAATATGACCTTATTTGGAAGTGGGGTCTTTGCAGATGTAATCAAGTTAAGATGAGGACACCAACAGGAATGGGATGGGCTCTAAATCCAACATGACTGATGTCCTTATAAAAAGACGGAATTGGGACACAGAGGGAAAAAAGCCATGTGAAGATGGAAGCACAGACTGGAGTGATTCAGTTACAAGTCAAGGAGCACCAAGGCTTGCCCCCACTACCAGAAGCTGGCAGAGACAGGAAAGAATTCTTCCCTGGAGGCTTCAGAGGGAGCACGGCCCTGCTGACACCTCGACTTTGAACTTCTGGCCTCTGGAACTGTAAGAGAAAAAAAATCTCTGTTGTTTTAAGCCCCCCAGTTTGTGGTAATTTGTTCCAGCAGCCCAGGAAACGACTCCAGAGGGTGTGCGTAATTTCTTTCTAGGAACACAGAGCAAGTGGCAGAGCCAGGCCTGATGCCATGCAGGTCAACTCCACAGGCAGCATTCTCTTGACCACTGTCCACCCTGTCCTCAGTCTAGAACCCATTTAGTTAAATTACATCTCTTACATCTGTTCTTATTTTTGCCTTCAGGACTAAATCCATATATTTTATGCTATATACAGTAGCTCTTTTTCAAATCCTCCACTACTACAGTTTTGCAAAATGTTCCCATTGGAGGAAACTGGGCAAAGGCTCTTTCTATATTATTTCTTACAACTACACGTGCATGTACAATAATCTCTCCCGCCACCCAAAAAACCTGCAATCTGACATTTTCTAGACTTCTAATTGACCTCCATATTATTAATCTAATTCTGTATTTTTTCTCCTAAAATATCTGCTTAGTACCACTAAACAGATCACCATGATCACCATGGTTCACTGATCCAAGAAACAATAGCTAGACTACCAGAAGGTTCTTGGTGCCTATCGATAGTGAATTACTACTAGCATCACTGTAAATGCCCATTACCATAGAGATTAGGGAACAGAACACACAGGGCCTGAACTATTTTTTTAAAAAGGCCAAGCTAGGGGGCCGGCTCCATGGTGTAGTGGTTAAGTCTGCATGCTCCACTTTGGCAGCCTGGGTTCATGGGTTCGGATCCCGGGCACGGACCTACACCGCTCATTAGCCATGCTGTGGTGGCAACCCACCTACAAAAAAATAGAGGAATACTGGCACGGATGTTAGCTCAGGGCGAATCTTCCTCAGGGGAAGAAAAAAAAAAGGCCAGGCTAAAGAAAATTCTTGAGCTAGAACTTAAAAGTTCATCTTTGAACCATATGTAATATGGTTCTTTCAAATATCACCAAAAATAACCATTCCCTAAATTCCTAAGGGAAATACGTATTTCAAAGAACCACTGAAGACCATAAACTCTATTATCCTTTGGAGGAACCAAATGGTACCTTTCATTTTACCACGAAGAAAAACAACACCAACAAATCTGATATGTTCTATTTTACCACCAGAAGAGAGAGTATGGAAAAGAAATAAGGCCCATCAGTTATGAACGAGCTATGCCACAAGCCACACTGGAGTGCACACTGTAGAAACACTCACTCTGGCAGTGGTTCAACACATCCTTCTGGACTCTTCTACAAAAACCCCAAGACTCACAAAACTTGCTAGCCACTGTTTTAAATGTGCAAACCCAACAGCAATAGTCATGGAAATCAAAGAAAATTCCACCCATAACTGTACCATGAACCACTTGAACTCGTCCATGTTCCCATTCCAGTTCTTGCTTATAGACACGTTCTATGTTTGCACAGCTATATTTTGTACCCTGCTTTTATTTTACTTCTTATATTTTTCATGTTTTTATACTACTCAATTATCATTTTAACAGTTGCATAATGTTTCACTAAGTTGACACACCAACAAATTCAAATCGTGTGCCTACTGAACACACAGGTTAGACGTTTAATTTTTTAAATTATTTTCTTACGGTGAATAAATTTGCAATGAACAATTTCATGCACACAGCTTTTTTACTATTTTAAATTAATTTTTAGGATGAAATTCCAGGACTTTCCAAAGGGCACTAACATTTTTTATGGTTCCTAAAATCTGCCCTCCAAACTGATATCTTCTGAGTCACACCGCACGAGCTGCTGGTTTCACCACCACCCTCCCCAACACCCTACACTGATGTCTCACCTTCCTCTGAAAGTGATGTTCTTTGATGCCTGGGGAGGCTAAGGTTCTCTCATGTCCAGTTGTACAGGCTATTATGTTAATTATTCATTCATGACATTTGCTCATTGATCACATCTTGATCTTTTTTAATTGACTATATAAGTGCTTTATTTTGGCTTTGTCAGATATAACAGCATTATGCTATAGTAAACACCATTCCTCCATTCTGTTGCCTCTTTTCATCTGAATTATGTTATTTTTATTTTATAGAAATTATTAGTTTTAATAAAAGTATCATTTTTAATAAAACTGAATTCATTTTTCCTTTGTCATTTTATTATTAAGCCTTAGAAAGTTATCAACTCTTTAAAGATCTGATATTCAACCCTAATTTTTTCTCAACGGCTTTTTTAAACTAGTTAACCCATTATTTATGTGTTGTTTAGAGTATTTTGGAGCATGGTGTGAAATGCTAATCTTAATTGCTAGCCTGAACCACCTATATGTATTTATGTGTGCCATGATACATCACCTAGTTCTGTTTACTACCCCTGCACTTGGCAGGAGGAAGCCATGTGCACCGTGGGTCCCAGGGGAAAAGTCTAGCTTCCATCCAGGAGACTCACGTCCTAAATATGCCACTTGGTAGCTGTGCCATCTTAGAAAAGTCATTTGATCCTCTGTGACTACATTTCCTCATCCATAAAATGGGCAAAAGGTCTCTCCCACCACCTCAGGGACCCATCAGCAGTGAGGAGTGAGGCAGAGAAGAGTGAATCAAGTACCTTGTGGCAAGGCTGTGACCTAAATGCCGTTCTCATCATCTCTTTTCTTTTCACATCAATTATCTTCGAGTTACCTGATCCTCCCTGTCAAGTCTTCCTCCTACTCTTTTGATAAAATGTATTTTGTTGCTTATTTATTTTACACAGTTCTGTACCAAGTTCCCTGAAATGGATGGACATGGATTTATCAGGGCCACTCCGAGAACGATGGAAACACCCGAGATGAAAACTTGGAAAGATAAAGAAACTAAGAGAATCAAACAGGAAATCAACTATGTGAATGAAAGCTACTTTTTAAAAACAGAGGGCACTAAAAAGGATCCAGAAGGAAAAGTCTAAGGGAAAACTATATTTTAAAAAAATGCTAAATATTCTCAAACAGTTCTGAGGATATAGTAAAAATATTGTACTGGTGTGTAACAATTATTAAGACTGCATTAGCTAACACCAGAACAGAAGATCCGATCGCAGCAGCAGAGCACCCCACTAACCACACAGGTATTGAGGCCATGGAATCACTCTGACAGGAGGGGACTAAGAAAGATGGACAGGACTCAAACAGGTGAAAAGGAGAAAGAGTGACATTTCAAATGGGGTGTCAGTCAGTGTCAACACAAGAACAAAGTGACCCCGCCATCTGGACTGGGTAGAGTCAAGAGTCAGAAACCACACCAGTTATTTAAACAAAGAAAATTTAACACAAAGGACTGTTGTCTAAGTGACTGAAAAAGCAAAAAGGGAGCACTGTATTATCATGGAGACAGCAGGTGCAGGACACAGCTACTGCCCGTAGGTCAAGGGAACCAAAGGAAGAACCTGGGGTTTTTGAAACCTGGGCAAAGGGCTCGGTACAGCTGAAACCCCAACCTCTGAGGGTGGGCTGCTATGGCTGGGCCTG